CACACTGCTTTTGGTGGAAGTTTTCAGAGAAGGGCACTGTGTTTCCAGGCTCCCATGCTGCCTTCAGCCATGTCATTGGAGGTGCAGTGTCTTTCCTTTCTCAAACATGAGCATCAGCAGAACTGGATGGAACTGCACTGGGTGGCACAGGTGTTGCCTTGAGGTACATCCATGACATGCTGTGTGGGGATGAGGTGGCAGTGTGGTAATGCAGAGAACCATAGGGTTTTAGGGGTTGGAATGAAGCTTAGAGATGATCCAGCCCCAATGCCCTGCCCTGGGCAGGGACACCTCCCACCAGAGCAGGTTGCTCAAGGCTCAGCCAACCTGGCTGTGAACACTGCCAGGGCTGGGGCAGCCACAGCCTCCCTGGGCAACCTGGGACAGGGTCTCATCACCCTCTGAAATGCTAAGGCTTGGACAATAGGACCAAGCCAGAGCTGAATTGTAGATGAATTCTGTACTCCTTGTGAATAGTGATGCTTTGGATTAGTTAACTAAACCACTGAATGTAGAACATAGATGCAGGTAACCTTTGCCTTGGCTATAGATCTGTCCTAGGCTGTGACACTTTCTGCAAGATATCTTAGAGACAACCTTTGTATAGGCTATATATCTATCCAAGGCCATGGCACCTTCTGCAAGATAGCTCAGAGATAACCTTGGTACAGATTATATACCTCTCTGTGAAGTCTTTCCAAGGCCATTCCCTGTCTGCAGTACATCTCAGGAAACTCCACCACCCATGCCATGAGCTCTAACCAAGTCCCAGCTTCGACTGGTCGGAGAGGAGAACCACCAAGTGTTACTTGCACAAACCACAAAGAGCTGCAAGTTATTTTTGGCTTGCTGATTTGGACCATAAAAGCTGGAACCTCTTGCAGCAACTTTGGAGGCCTCACCTACAAGTGGACACACTGTGTAGGACTTCCAAGTGGTGGGAAAGGCTCTCCAAACCCTCACTGCAACCAGAGGCTCCCCCAGGACTGTGGATCTGGGGGATGGGAAAGTGTTGGGGCAATTGATGTGTCTTAATTACTGTTCTTTCCTGTATGTAGGAATGATTAGGTGCATTACCTTTCTTATTGTCTTTGCTGTTTGTGCTGCTTGAATTGGAGCTTTGTAAGTGAACCTTATATGTAAATATATTGTTCATTTTTCTATTATCTTAAACACCAATAGTAAAATAAGCCTATTCTTTCCATTGGTGTCTGTGTCATTTGTCACCCCATCAACTGGCAGAACACTCTCACAGGAAAAAACTTCTTCCTGATATCTCAGCTAAATTTCCCTGGGAGTGATGGGGAGAGGGTGGATGTGACCCCCATGTTCTGGCCAGGAGTGTATGGCTCACAGCCCAGTGCAGACAGAAGTGCTGCAAAAGGCCATGCAGGAAGGTGACAGGTTTTGTCCATGCAGAGAACTTGGCCAATCCATGACCCAGTCAGGTTTTTAATCACAGGTGGGGGGGAATTCATCCTCAGGGTCCATAGGGGTCAGACCTCCACCACAGGAATTGCGGCTGGAGCCAGGCAGCCCCAAATGCCCAGAATATAGAATATTCAGAAAGGTGAGACTGACCAGCAGCCCTGGACAAGCACCTGGGCCACCACAGCAAGGACAACTCAGCACTGGGTAGTATCCAGGCATCACTTGCCTGTGGGAAGCCTCAGCCTCTGCCTGGCAGCAGTAACTATGCCAAACTTTACAACTTGAATGATTAACACCAACCCCTTCCTAAAATCTGATCAAATACCAAACCTGAAAACCTTTCCCTGCAGCAGGCACAGGAAATCTCGGCTGCACCAGGGGCTGCTGAGGTGGATGGAGCAGAAGGACTGGTGCTCTCAGGTGGTACAAGAGTGACATACACAGGAGGCAAGAAGACAAACTCAAAACTTTATTGCTGGTGATACTCAGGGAAGGGGAAATCCATTACAGTCAAGGCAAGTCACATATGGAGCATTGGCCAACAGCCAGAGCAACGTGGACTCCTGCCCAGAGCACCCTGTGGGATGCAGGGATGATGGAGGCATCTGCAACAGGACAGGAGAGCAGGGTCAGGGCGTGTGGCTGTGCCTCACCACACTCTGTGTGTGCCCCCAGTTCTTCCCTCTCCACCCTGCACAAGGTTCCCAGTAGTATTTTGCTGCAGGACAGGTCACCTTTGTCACCTGTCCATGGTCATTTCCCCACTGCAGCAACCCTGTGTCTCCCGTCAGGTGTCCATAGAATCATACAATTTCAAGGGTTGGAATGGAGCTTAGAGATGATCCAGCCCCAACACCTGCCCTGGGCAGGGACACCTCCCACCAGAGCAGGTTGCGCAAGGCTCATCCAACCTGGCTGTGAACACTGCCAGGGTTGGGGCAGCCACAGCCTCCCTGGGCAATCTGGGAC